TAGAATAGCTCCTTAACCATTACCTTCCAGCGAAGTGTTCATTGTGAAACCTATATAAAGTGTTATAGGTTTACCAAAAAATTAGTTTTTTTTTATAATTATGTTCACTCTGTACGAGGTCCAAGAGCAACTCGAAGTCGTGGGCCACGAAGTAAGAGTCACAGTTTATGAGGATATCTGGGAAAGGTAATGGTTAACACTAGACTTAAGATTTTAGTGATCGGGGAAGCATCCTCTTGGGAGTCAGTTGCACAATTTAGCGGTTCCTAGGTTCGAGTTGAACATACATCTTACCAATGGGATACGAAGGGAAAGAGGGTGGTTCACTACAATGGGCGTGGCAGGGCAAGGGTCTTAGCCGTGAAGGTTAGAACTGGTGGAACTAAGGAATGTAGCTCTTCCGAGCACTTTCCATGAAAATAGCATGACGCATGCAACGTTTTAATCTGTGAGAACGGAGTTGTAATGCGAAAAGTAAGTACCCCCCAAATTATCACAAACAAAAACACGTTTGGACTTCTATCGAGTCTAGAAAATGAAATCTGGTTATCTCTTGTCCAAATATGGTAGCAGTACTCAATTCTCGATCTGATATGGTGCCTGTAAAGGGAGGGTATAGCCGGTGGAGTCAGGTACTTACTGGAGTGGTACAGGGATCTTTAACGATGAATCGTACGTACGATTTCCAATTGAGGTTTCGGGGGTGGGGGGAACTTGAGTCCCAGTAGCTCCACCCCTCCCCGACAGAACACTCAGTTTAAGTTTATTATCATGAATAACTCGTTAAGGCGCTTATACCTAAAAACAATATCACACATGACAAAGACATTGATATTAACTAACGTTAGCATAGTCGGGCACGATGTCATAAGCGACACACACACACACACACACACACACACACACACACACACACATATATATATATATATATATATATATATATATATATATATATACACACAAATGGAGTAAGAATCCACAATTGTAGCATTTACTTTTAAAAAAGTGCTCAGTACAAAGTAGAGCAATATATTATTATATTTTAGTATAATCTCTTATAATAAAAATATGATTATATATATATATATATATATATATATTGTTTTGAAACATGAGAAATCTTATGTAGCGTTGGAATCAATATTTTAAATAAATAATTATATATATACATATATATATACATATATATATATATATATATATATATATATATATATATATATATATATATATTTTTTTCAAATTTTTTTGCTCGGATTTGTTGTAGATATATTAGTATTTACTATTTTTTTAAATTTAAAATTTTTTTTTCTAAATATATATATACTCTTTTGGTAAAAAAAAAATCCGGATTGCACAATTTGTCAGTAAATCAAAACAAGTTGGTATCCGAGAAAAAAGAAGAAGAAGAAGAAGAAGAAGAAGAAGAAGAAGAAGAAGAAGAAGAAAGAACTAGAAACATGAGAAGAGGGCGAAAAAATCGTCAGTTGGCTGAAAATTTCCAGTCCAAAGAAAAAACCCAATCAAGTAAGTAACATAAAAAGTGTACTGCTCAATACAATAAAATAAATCCTTTTGAAAGATTTATTTTATAAACTGATCAGTTTATTTAAAAAAGTATTTATTTTGTCTTGCGTACTGGAAAAAAGAGCGTGAAGAAAATGTTCACTTCAACAAGATTCGAACGTCTCCCTTCTGCAGGCGGAACTAGCGTCGGATCCAGCGTCATTTATTGCACGTCTACGAAGAGATTCACGCTAACGCAAAGGTTTTCAAGAGTAAGAAGGGTGGTAGAGGAAATAAATATTATTTGAAATAAACAGAACTTCTATTCAAATACGGGTATCCGCGGATTAAAAATAAAATAAATTAATTGTTTATATATATATATATATATATATATATATATATATATACACGCATAATATATATATATATATATATATATATATATATATATATATATATATATACATAAATATATATATATATATATATATATATATATACAAATAAATATATATATATATATATATACGCACAAATATATATATATATATATATATACACAAATATATATATATATATATATATATATATATATATATATATTAAAATGATGAGAAAGAACAGTAAGATTGAAAATTCTTAATGATTTTTATTTTTTTTAAAATGGTGCTAATACAATTCTGTAGAGCATAAACATTATAAATTTACTAATTTAAAAATATGATCCCATAACTACACAGGAATTACCATGTTTCAAAAACAGAAACTAAAACTTTAAATTTAATTATAGAATTTAATTAAAATCCTCCGTACTGTTTCATTTTCAAGCGAAATCTTAAAATCGAACAATAAGAATATTAAAAAATTAAAAAATCCTTAAATACACTGAGATATATATTAATATATTAATATTCTTTCGTTTTTATTATTTCAGTTAGATTCCTCGACTAGTTTCAGCCAGCGTGGCTATCATCAGGAGAAAAATAACCCTGCTTGTTAGTCGCTGTGAAATACAATATATATATATATATATATATATATATATATATTAAATTTAAAGTTTTATTTTCTGTTTTTTGAAACTTGTAATTCCTGTATAGCGATGGGAGCATATTCTTAAATTAGTATATATATATATATATATATATATATATATATATATATATATATATATATATATATATATATATATATATATATGTGTGTGTGTGTGTGTGTGTGTGTGTGTTTTTATAATATAATAAAATATTAAAAATTAAAATCTTCAAATACACTTGGTTGTGTATTAATATTCTTTTTTTTTTTATTTTTTCAATTAGATTCCTCGACTAGCTTCAACCAGCATGGCCATCATCAGGAGAAAAAAATCTTGCTTGTTAGTAGCTGTGAACTACAGAAATATATATATATATATATATATATATATATATATATATATATATATATATATATATATATATATATATATATTCACCCATTTTCCTGTTCCATACAATGAGTGATTGGATATCACCTCCAACTGTACGAACCTTAGGATTAGTTAGCCGTCTTGATACTTGTCAGTATAGCCGGTGACACAGAGTTGTTACTGGACACATTGACATATAAAGTTGTATGGGATTCCATTTTAAACTATCCTTGTGTCATATTTATTTTCGTGAGAATGACACTGAATATTTTGCCTAAATAAACGCATTTAAGTAATTGTACCCTTCCCGGTCATGTAATTCAACCGTGACGCTTGTCCTCTGAAAATATCACAATATATCCAGCTGGTCGTGGTTCAGTAAACTGATACTTTTCTTCTAGGTGGTTCGAGATTTCCTTTCGCGAATGTTATTTTTCAAAAGCAAAGCAAAGTATTAAGAAACAGGAAAATGTCTTTAGAATCAAAGAAAAGAATACTTCACTACAAAGTAATATCAATCCAGCTGTATTGCAGTGAATGCTGGACATTTCCTCCGTAGATGAAATGAGACTTTAGACAACAGAGTTTTTTTACACTAAATTTGGTTAAGATTGTAGTGACTGAGAAAGCACCCTCTCGGGAGTTATTCTACCAATGGATTGCGAAGAGTACGAGGATAATTCGGTATGACGTGCCTTAGCTATAAAGGTCTGAACTTGTAGAACGCCAGTACCCGTGTACATAATCTACCATAATCAAGTAAGAAGAGTCCTCAAGATAACAGCTTCAGTCGCAGATTGTTAATTCAGAATTCACCTTCTCTTCGATTGGTTGTCATGTAAGGCATAAGCGTCTGCCTTACTGTTTTCTTGTTATTGGTGGGTGGGAAGAGAAATAATGTCATATCTTTTCAATACCGCGAAAGTGATTTTTAACGAACTTGACTGGAGTTCGAACTCAGCCAAACGATTTCCGGTTCCGAGCCGCTAGTTACTTGACCAGACGCACATTCAATTATATTATGTCTCTTTATTTTTATTTTAATCCTCTCGTATTCTCGGATCAACTTCTTAACGTTGATATTGTATTCATTAAGGAAGGCGCCGTAGTTTTTTTAATTTCTTTTTTTTTTTCCAAAGTCATTTCAATCTCATCCAAGATCATCTTCAGGGGTGAATTGCTATAAGTAATTTACAAATTAACCGCTAAAGCTACCATATTTTGATGCAGAAAGCACTGGACGGCCGTTTCGTCCTATATTTAGGACTCATCAGCAGTGCGCATCCACTACTGAGAATTGAAACCTGAAACGTTTGCCTGTCAATGTAGCTGTCCGGGTTTCAATTCTCGGTAGTGGATGCGCACTGCTGATGAGTCCCAAATATAGGACGAAACGGCCGTCCAGTGCTTTCTGCATTCTGTTGAGGTTTCTTCTAGACTCGACGAATTACTTATATTACGACGAATATATATATATATATAAAATCAAGAGGAAAACCTTAAAGATCCATTTCGGTTATAATTTATTTCGTGAATATTGTCATATTCATCTCTTGAAACCGAAAGTTTTTAATTTTAAATGATTAATTAATTAAGATCTTAATATTAAGAACTTTCGGTCTAAAGAGAATAGACCTGCTCCCCCCTCAGCTGTCGGTTGCATTGGGATCAATATCCCTACCGACCTATTGATGGAGATACTGCCGACGGCAACTGTTTCTCGAAATCGGACAACACTCAATATTTTCAGTTGCGGTCTCTGTACTAAGACAGCGATACAACTGAGAGATGAAATGTAGTTTATCCTGACCGAAGACAGATACTACACTTTGATCCCAGCCAAAAGCTTACTACGGTGGCAATCCCGATAAATGTGCCATTTTTTGTTTCCACGCAGTGTATCGAATGATAGGAACTGAATAAGGCAATCGCCAAAGATAGAGTTACCATAAAAGAACAATGTCTGCTGAATTATTGTAAATTTATTATTAAGAGAAATGTTGGTAAAATTGGGATTTTGCTCGTTAGCTTATTACATATCCAATTTTACCTATTATTTCGAATGTCAAGAACAGGTTGATTATTTTATTTCGTAAATTTTCAATAGATAGATAGATAGATAGATAGATAGATAGATAGATAGATAGATAGAAACAGACTGAGGTAGATATGGAATGAATTGGGATAGATAGATACATAGACAATGAAAAGACTGTGACAGAAAGAAAGAAAGAAAGAAAGAAAGAAAGAAAGAAAGAAAGAAAGAAAGAAAATAAATAGACTGAGATATATAATGAAGAGACTGAGATAGATAGATAGATAGATAGATAATGAAAAGACAAGGATAGATAGACAGACAGAAAGACGTGGGATCAGTTTTCGAATGAATCAATGTATAAAAATATATATTTCTTTATATTGGTGGCTGGCTTCGGCATTTCATAGCCGAAGGTAGAGCCAATCTGGCGTGTAAAATTCGATATTTATAGTTTGTTGGGGGGGTTGATGAACATTGGGAATTGCTGACTGCTGGGAAAAATAGGGAAGCAGTTACACAGAAAACAGTATTTTCTCAGTTTCTTCGCAGTTTTTTTTTCTTTTTTTTTTTCATTCTTCTTCTTCTTCTCCTCTAATTTTTGTTTTCGGTTCTATTTTGTTTTTCATTTCTTTCATTTCTGTTTCTGTCTATTTTTACTATTTTCTTTTATTTGTACTTTATTTCTTTACTTTTCTTTTCCATTTCTTTCTTTCTTTTTCCTTCTTTCTTTCTTTCAACCTGCCATTCAGGTCTTTCTTTCTTTCTACCTTTCATTTCCGTCAGTCTGTTTGTTTGACTTTCTTTCTTTCTTGTCTGTCTGTTTGTTTGACTTTCTTTCTTTCTTTCTTTCTTTCTTTCTTTCTTTCTTTCATTCTCGTCTGTCTGTTTGTTTGACTTTCTTTCTTTCTTTCTTTCTTTCTTTCTTTCTTTCTTTCTTTCTTTCTTTCATTCTCGTCTGTCTGTTTGTTTGACTTTCTTTCTTTCTTTCTTTCTTTCTTTCTTTCTTTCTTTTTTTCTTTCTTGCAGTATTACTCATATTCTTTCCCACCACTTTAAAGAAAATATTTACCGATATTTGTTTTCCTGTTTGTTGTTGACTTTGTGTAAATCTCAAACGCACGAAGACTGACAAATGATAGAAATGGAAAAAAAAGAGGGATAGATAGAGAGAAAGATACATAGACAGATAGAAAGATTGATGGGATCCGACCGAGATAGATAGATAGATAGATAGATAGATAGATAGATAGATAGATAGATAGATAAACTTAGGAATATAATAGTGGGAGTAATATCCTTTAATGTTTAGACAGAAAAAATATTCTCACACATAAATTTGTAGTTATTGTGGTTTTAACTTCGTCATGTATATTTATATTTACTTTTATTGACAAATGATAGAAATAAAAAAGAGTCTGGGATAGATAGATAGATAATGAACAGAGTGAGACGATAGATAGATAGATAGATAGATAGATAGATAGATAGATAGATAGATAAACAAACCTTGCAATATAATAGTGGGAGTAATGTGCTTTAATGTTTACACAGAAAAAATTATTCTCACACATAAATTTGTAATTTGCTTTTTACTTCGTCAGGTATATTTCATGGACTCCCTCACACACACGTACATATATATATATATATATATATATATATATATATATATATATATATATATAGTGGGGAGAAACAAATATATATATACACACACACACAGTGGGGAGAAACAAATATTCGTGCACATAGAAATTTTTAATTTTTTTGTCTTTACAACGAATGAATAAACATACTTTTCATATAATTAACTGTACACAGATGCATAATAACTAAATATGCATAGAAAACAGAAAATAATTGATTTAATGGGAATAAATCCTATGTATCCATTTTAATGGTTAACAAATAAAAAAAGAATAATAAAGAATACATATACTTCATTTAATACTTTTAAAATAGCCATTATTCACTTCTACAGCAACTCACCTTGTCTTTTAAGTTTCAGTTAATGACTTACAAATTTTAGTTGGTACTTTGTTCCATTCTTTATCGCATATGGTCTTCAGATCCGGGATGATTGTTGGAGCTCTCGATTGGATTTCAATTTTCAAATATTGCCTCAGATTTTCGATTGGGTTTAAATCTGGGGACTGGGAGGAAGTTCAAAATTTTCAACCAAAATCATTAAATTCTACAATCTATTGCTGATATGTTGCCAGTACCTTTTGCAGTAAAACATCCCCAAACCATGATGCTGCCACCACCAAATTTCACTGTGTTCTTTTGTTTGAAGGCATCGCCATGTTTTCTCCATATCTGATTTCTAGAATTACGTCCAATTAGGAGGAAGTTTAAAATTTTCAACCAAAATCATTAAATTTGCTTCCAAAATATTTTGATATGCAACGACATTTATTCTATTATCTATTACTGATATGGTGCCAGTACCTTTTGCATAAAAACATCCCCAAACCATGATGCTGCCACCAGCAAATTTCACTATTGGAACTGTGTTCTTTTCTTTGAGGTCATCGCCATCTTTCCTCTATACATGATTTCTAGAATTACGTCCAAATGTACATCGCTGTAGAGGTTGAATGAATCTTGGGGTGGTGAGGGGGGAGACATATCCTTGTCTTACGCCCATTTCTAATTCAGTAGGTATGTTACTGCCTATGTGAATCATTTGAAGCATATTTCTGGGTTTACGAATATATTATTGTAAGCCCGTGTGAGGACTTGGTGAGTGCTAGACTTGATAGGTTCTTTATCAAAAGCTTGGCTATTAGGTCTATTCTGATGGGTGTTTAATTTACCAAGCCCTCCTTCCTCATAATGTAATTTCAGTTGTCTTTTCCTGATTCTGAGCTCAAGTGAAGTTTTTGCCATTTTTTTTCAAACATAAACGTTGCTTCTGTTAGTTGCCACCAGTTTTCTTCTCATCCATAGGGAGATTTCCCAGCATTCACTGCTATATAACATGAGGGGTATCACTTAGCAACTAATTAATATTTTATTTGTTTATAACGAAATTATTCTGTCTCTCAGCACTTTACTTACCTTTTGGAATTCCTCATTCGCCATTCCAATGTTTCTTCGGATTTCGGTGTCACTCTTTCCAGTCTCTGTTAAAAATCTTCCCAGATATTTAAACGTCTCTATTTGCTTGAAGTTATTCCTTTCCGTGTTGCGTGTCTTTTAGTGCTGAGTCCAGGAGGTCCTCTAGTTTACTTTCCCTGTCTACTACCAACATAGTGCCACCTGAGAATATTATATTGTTAAGATTATGCCAACCAATAAAAAATTCTACTAAGGTATCTAGATATTTATGGGCTCGCTGTAGAGGTGGATTAAATCTGGGGAGAAGACACACCCTTGTCTTACGTCCTTTTCTAGTTTTGTATGCCTACTCAACTCAATTCCTATCCGTATGCAGGCGGTTGGCTCCCAATATAAGTTCTGGATTATTCTAACATCTTTTTACATGCACCAAATAAATCCTTACAGGCATAAATGACCTTGATAAAATTGAAATATCTTATTCAACAAACAGTAATTAATAGAAAATGATCTTGCGTATTATTTTACAGTTAAATGGCTTTTGGAGATGTAAATTTTTCCTTTATCAAGTCGAGGTATTTTTCACATCATATCTAGTTACCTCTCCTTAAACAGTGTCCGTCACCCAAGCCATGACACAGCATTCCTAACTCTACATACAAAAATGATAATTTTCGGATGACCAAAACAATTTTTGTCATTCACAACCATGAACACTATATAGCGTATTTGACGACATATCAGACGAACGGGTGTATAATACGCACCCCAATTTCATCAGGGCGAATCAAGAAAAAGAAAAAAAAAGAGTAATTAGTAAAATTAGTAAACCTACATATGGAATATAAGTGGAATATTAAAAAGATATTTTTAGTAAAAAATGCGCCTTTATATGCATTCAAATAAAATATTTTTATAATTAATAATTATGATGACATTATGCTATTTCGAAAGTACTCGGAAATAAATACAACATGAGTCAATACGGTGTTTTCCTTACGTCTTTTAACAACGGCACAAAAATGGACAACGCTGAATTCGAAACCTGCGGAGGGACGTTTGGTTGTATTGATTGGTTCTGCACAAAGCCTTCACCACGATAATCAAATCTTATGTTTTGGTGTCTGGGATGTCGGTTCCTGAGTAGGAATTCGATGGTTTATCTTATATATATATATATATATATATATATATAATAGATATTTCTTGTATTTGAGGATAACCGTCTTCTAGGGCGTCTAGTTTTCCCTATTATAGACGCTCGCCCATTTTTTAATTTGTGTTTGCTCAGCAGCCACAGAGCAAACAATGCTTTCTGGGAGAGCGTGTTATCTAGCATGATCAACAATCTGAACAAGTCGCTTCAAATAATCTCAGCCATGATAACTTGTGGCTTATTATCAAATATCAGCTATCGACGCCCCCCACCCATTCCGTCTCACCCAATGAACTTTACAAATCTGGGTCTCATGGTCAGAAAAGCAAAAATATATCCCACAAGCTCAAATACATATTACACACACACACACACACACACACACAAAACAAAAACACACACACACACATATATATGTGTGTGTGTGTGTTGTAAAATTTCAACTACATCTAAAAATATATCTGTAAAAGGACAATACTAATAAAGATAAAAGGGAAACTTATTATGGAAGATGATAACTGACATAATTTAATGTCAAAAAAATGAAAATAAAAAATAATATTAATCCCCGTTTATTTTAAATATAAAATATAAATCCCATCGAGCTTAAAAATAAAATTTTAAAAAAATATAATTTTAAGTCTGTTTATTTTAATACAAAATTAAAAAATAAATTTCCGTTTATTTTTTAAATATAATATAAATCTCGTCTATTTTAAATACATTTTTTTTTATAGTTTTAGGTTCGTTTATTTTAATACAATTCATTTTTTAATACCATTAATCTCCGTTTATTTTGAATATAAAATAAAAACATTAATTCCGTGTATTGTAAACTTTTTTTAAATTTTAATTTCCTTAATTTTTTCTTTCTTATTTTAAATATAAAATATAACTCCCGTCTATTTTAAATACAAGTCTTTTAATTACTTGAGAAAAAAATCGTAATCTGCGTATAATATATGGACTGCGCCAACTTTGCGTTAACCAGTTCGAAATTGCAATCACCTGAAGAAGACCGAAGCGTACAACGTCCGAAAAATCGTGAATTTCTTGGCATTCTTAATAATTAGTTTTTTACTTCTATTTTGCTTGTATTGAATAATTTCACTCTGAGATTTCATAATCTGAGAGCTCTTCTTTCTTTCTTTCACTTTGTTTATTTCAAACACGTTCTTTCTTTCTTTCTTTCACTTTGTTTATTTCAAACACTTTCTTTCTTTCTTTCTTTCTTTCACTTTGTTTATTTCTAACATTTTCTTTCTTTCTTTCTTTTTTCTTTCACTTTCTTTATTTCAAACACTTTCTTTCTTTCTTTCTTTTTTCTTTCACTTTGTTTATTTCAAACACTTTCTTTCTTTCTTTTTTTCAATTTTCATTTTGGTTTATTTTTTGTCACTTTCTTTCTTTCTTTCACTTCATTTTTTTTGTTACAAACACTTTTTTCTTTCTTTCTTTTTCTCTTTTTTCTTTCAATTTCTTTTATTTTAAAAACACTTTCTTTCTTTCTTTTTTCTTTCACTTTGTTTATTTCAAACACTTTCTTTCTTTCTTTCTTTCTTTCTTTCACTTTGTTTATTTCAAACACTTTCTTTCTTTCTTTCTTTCTTTCTTTCACTTTGTTTATTTCTAACACTTTCTTTCTTTCTTTCTTTCTTTTTTCTTTCACTTTCTTTATTTCAACACTTTATTCTTTCTTTCTTTCTTTTCTTTCAAAATTTATTTTTCAATTTATGTTTCTTTTTTTAAAAATTCTTTTGTTTGTTTTATTTTAATGCATTTCTTTCTTTCTTTCTTTCTTTTTTTTCCAATCAAAATTTTATTTCAAACATTTCTTTCTTTCTTTCTTTTTTCTTTCACTTTCTTTATTTCAAACACTTTCTTTCTTTCTTTCTTTCTTTCTTTCACTTTGTTTATTTCAAACACTTTCTTTCTTTCTTTCTTTCTTTCACTTTGTTTATTTCTAACACTTTCTTTCTTTCTTTCTTTCTTTCTTTTTTCTTTCACTTTCTTTATTTCAAACACTTTCTTTCTTTCTTTCTTTTTTCTTTCACTTTGTTTATTTCAAACACTTTCTTTCTTTCTTTCTTTCACTTTGTTTAAGAAAAACCTTGTTATATTTTCTTTCTTTTTTTCTTTCTTTTTTGTTTATTTCTTTTGACTTTTCTTTCTTTCTTTTCTTTTTCTTTCACTTTCTTTATTTCAAACAAAAAGTCTTTCTTTCTTTTTTAAATCATTTTCTTTATTTTTTGTATTTCTTTCTTTTTCTTTCTTTCACTTTTTCTTATTTTAAACAAATCTTTCTTTTCTTTCTTTCTTTCTTTCTTTCACTTTGTTTATTTCTAAATTTTCATTTCTTTCTTTTTTTTTTTTTTTTTCTTTATTTTGAACAAAAGGTTTCTTTCTTTCTTTCTTTCTTTTTTCTTTCACTTTCTTTATTTCAAACACTTTCTTTCTTTCTTTCTTTCTTTTGTCTATTTCAAATTCTTTTTTATTTCATAAATATTTTCATTTTATTGATGAAATATTATGCAATTTTTTGTTTAAAAAAAAAAACTGCAACAATTTTGTGTTTATAAAAATAATCCTTCTGTTATATTCTTATCTTTTGCCTTTTCTTACAATAAAAACGGAATGGTTCATTATTTATCTGAGGTAATGTCAGAGCGTAAATGACGTGCGAAATGAGAAACACAAAGATTTAAAGTCCGAAATAGAGAGATAGATAGACTGAGAGGAACAGACTGAGATAGATAGATATGTACACTCGAGAGATATAGATAGAAACGGAATGAGTTAGCTTGATAGATATATATGAACAGTCTGAGATAGATAGATTGAACGCATAAATTTGCCGATGACTGTCGCTCGACACCCCGTGATAACCTCTCGTTGGCCTTTCATTCTTTTTGTAGTGAGTCGTTTTAGTTTTAAGATCAAATTACCAGAAAAGGAAACAGGGAGAAAAAAACAATGTCGTAGTTTGAAATCATGAAAAAACATGTAATTGAAAAACGCTTTTTTTTTTTTTTACAACATAAACTCAATAAACAGGGCTTGCTTAGTAGCTGAGATAGTGGCCTATTGCCGTCCGGTAGCTTTTGTAAGACTGACTTCTATGCACTTTATACCACGTTAGGTCGTTCTTTTACGAACCCTATCATATATAACAACACACCAACTAAGTCAAGATTACAAAGAACGAACATTATCTATGAGTTCAAATGCCCCTTAAGGAACTGTGTTCCTGATCAAACCGGACTCATAAATAATTACATCGGTTACACAACTACATGCTTATCCAGACGTCTTACGTTACACCTATCTGATCACAGCTCCATTAGCAACCCATTTTAACATACACACACAAATTTACCCGATTCCATTACGAACATACTAGTAGAAAGCACAAATATATTAACTGCATCCACCTGCAAAAAAAAAGACTAAAATTAATGGAAGCTTTAATAATAAAAAAGAAAAGGCCAACTCTTAATATTAACTACGAACAAAGCCACAATGTGCTAACCGTATTCAGAAATTAAAATCATCCCTACTACACACTAAGACATACACAGACCGCACACACTCAATTAAGCTGAAAAATCGAATCATCCTTGATAATGGCTAAAGGTATAGCCGAAAGCGCTCGGAACTATAAAACATTTGGACAGTTTTTACACACTCTTTGTCCAGAAAAGAAAGCTCTTGTTAGAACACAAGAAAAATTAAATAAAAAGCTTAACCGTAGTACCTTGTCTGTCGTTTTTAATGAAACATGCATATATATATATATATATATATATATATATATATATATATATATATATATATAATAATTTTTAACCAAACCTTAATAAAATTTTAAAATATTAATTATGAATACTTTATTTCTAACGTTTTAAAATGTGGACAATAGATAGTTTTTAAATGTCAAGATTTGCAATAATAGTTTCGCTTTTTACTATTTATTTCGTAAACAAAACCCATACTTTGTTACCTCCCCTTAAACAGTTTCAGCGGTCACGCACTGACGCAGCAGTAAGAAATTTAACTTTCAGATAACACAACAATTTTGTATTTGATAATAATGAACACTACTAGTGTTGATCATGTAATAAACAATACAATTGATGATGAGATTAAAAATCGAAAGTACTCGGAAACACGAAATGTATCAACACGGCGATTCCTTCTATCTTCCTTCAATAATGACACCAAAAAAGCTTATCCACGAATATGATAGGATCCTATGTCTAAATTAATATTTTTGGCCGAGCCTACGAACTCAGAGAACCCACGGTAAACTCGGCCTTGTGCTACATGCATTCCTCGTTTTCTAGGCTGTGTTAAATAAACAGTCGAATAGATTGTTCAACTGTCGAACTCTCTACCTTGAGCAGAGTGGTAAAAAAAATTGCTCGGACGAGGTTTTGCCGCAACATTAAAAAAAAATCGTCTGGGGATAGGTAAACAGAACCTGAAACCCGGTTATATTATTTTCTAAGGAATATTTTTGCCGAGCCTACGGGCTCATTAACCCATATTAAACACGGCCTTGTGCCACATAAATCCCTCGTGGTGGGGGCTAAAATATTGAATCGAATAGATTGAACGCTCGGTCATCGGAAACACACTTTAAGTCGGGTAATACTCTTCTGTTGTACTTATTGTTTAATATATGATATATCTGCAACACTTGTTTTGTTATTTTTCTTTAACCTTTGACTTGGTCACAACACTTTTATTCCGTTTTTCTTGTGTTCGTATAAGTGTTTTCTTTTCTGGACACAAAATATGTAAAAACTTTCCAGATATTCAGTAAATCCGAACGCTTACGGCTATTCTTTTAGCCATTATTAAGGAATTGTTTTTAACTGAATATGTATATTTTTATAGAGGTGTTTCTATAGTGATAAGAATGTTCGTTTTTTTTTCTTCACAGTCAGATATATTGTGGCCGTGTTTATAGTTGATACTATTGAGTGTTGGCTTCTTTTATTATTAGGACTTCCATTATTTTTTTAATTTTAGAAGAGGCTATTATATTTGTATTTTCTACGGCTATGTTGCAGACTGAGTTTCGTAAGTTCCCGCGTGTATTCAAATGAGTTCTAGATGAGCCATGATATATTATTATTATTATTATTATGGTTTCAAAGGTTATTTTTATTGGATACCCGTATTTGAATAGATACCCTGTTTATTTTAAGACAGTGTTTCGTCTACAGCCTGTGTACACAAGGAAACTTAAAGAAAATATACCTCCCGGCAGGATTCGAGCTACCGTCTGATCCGGTATGATATGACCACTCGGCTACGTTCAGATATTTCTCGAAACGCATCTTCCGTTTCGTATCCTTAAATGTAAACAAAGCAATATGTCTATATAATTATTTGTTACTCAAACCTTATGAGAAATCTTTTGCTGATGCCCTTAAAACACAAATTATACAATGGAACTATAAATCCAAAATAGGAAAATTTAACAAAGTCGTTTGTAGAAAACACGCTGGCACTTCCTAAAGGTTTATAGAAAGAGTAATTCTGGAGATAAAAGATAGAAAAACGACAGTTAGAACTGAAGAACAAAAGAAGATGAATGACAAAAAAATGGGAATTAGCGAGATATATAAAAAGAAGAAAAAATAACAGGTGGAGCAAAAGGTTGGTTGAATGGTGACCAAAGAATAAAAGGGCTGCAGAAAAAGACCAGTTATAAGTTGGAGAGATAAGATAGAGGGGGTGCCGGACTCACAGAGTATAGGACAGTAAGAGGGGTCCTGAAAGAATTTAGAAAAGGACTTTTGTTTAGCAGTGGCTATTTTGTTACTGTGAGTCCATAATGAGTCAACTATATATTTATATATTAAAAATTAGAAATATGTTGCATTACCAGAAAAAAACTACCAAGGTTTCACCTAAAAAATCGTCAAAAAATTTTGGCTACTTGATAACCCTGGTAGCCAAAAAATGACGATCCGCTTAAATGAAAAATATAATAAAAACATCTAATTCCTCTATATATATAAATATCTGTTAAACTGATAAGCAAATTATTTAGTTGTTTTATTTACTCGTATCGTTTTTTTTTCTTTTGGGCTTTTAACTTGCATGCTAGACGATTATTTTCAAACGTACAATTTCTTGGTTCTTTCTTTTTTTTATACTCCCCACCCACATGTTGGTATTGGTTTGATTATTTGTAAATCAAGACACAAAAGGTTTTCGAACGATATAATTTCTTATACCCATAAGATTATTACTACTAATATATATATACTAGCATGAAAAAAAGCCTGTCGCCTCTGAAACTTGAAAAATGTTTACTTTTATATATATATATATATATATATATATATATATATATATATATATATTTATCTATATATATTTCTAAATGTATTTAAAAGTGGTGTATTTTATTCAATAAATACAGATTTTATTACTTTTTAATGTCATTTTAAGTAGATAAATATTTCATTTGAGTAGACGCTCCGTTTATTTATTAAACAATATATTTTATTTATTTTCAACTACCGACTTGACTATTCGTGGCCATTAGGTCTAAAGTACATCGATTCTAGCGACGGTTTTCCCTGCTCAGGGAAAGGTGGGGTCGAATACTACCAGAGAATGTGTATGTATCTTTAATAAGCTTTCTCAAATATTCAGGCCGATAGACTAAAATAACGTTCAAGTAATATATATATATACAAAGTTCCATAAAGTTCGTGTACACTTTAAAAATTTTATAACTTTATTTGTATTTGCGATAGAAATAATCTATAAAAAATGTTATAATCCAGTGTTTCAACAAGATGGAGCTCCTTGTCACTTTGCTCTGCATGTCAGAGAGTTTCTAAATCAGGAATTTCCTAACAGATGGATCGGAAGGGGTGGACCATTTTATTGGCCTCCACTTTCGCCAGATTTGATCCCATTAGATTTTTTATGGGGACATGTGAAAACAATTGTGTATGCAACCAAACCTAGTTCATTGGAAGGTTTGAAAGCTAAAATAACTAATGTGATTTCAGGCATTACTGTAAATCAGTTGGCAAATGTTTTCCGTGAACTGCAAAATCGTATTACCCTTTGTATTGCTAATGATGGAGGACATATGGAAACTTAAATAAAATTTCAATAAAACCTTAAAAAAAATATAGATTTACTTCTTTCTAATCCTTTTTACATTTTATTTCTATCGGAAATGCAAATAAAGTTATAAACTTTTTAAAGTGCACACGAACTTTTTGGACACCCTGTATACACACACACACACACACACACACACACACACACACACACACATATATATATATATATATATATATATATATATATATATACATACAAAAACCAATTTGCAGTCGTATCGAAAGAAGAATGTATCTTTCTAGTGAGCAAGTTTCTTTTTTTCCGTATGTAAAAATTATAATAAATAATTATTACACTACTCTTGGTATTAAATCCTTTTTTCAATTACTGCTGTTAGAATTTTAGTATTATTTTCACTTTCATGAGATTCGGAACCCTAAAAACCAAATAACACTCACTTAACAGAAACACATCCCCTTTCCTAGAACCAATAAAACTGTCAAAATGACCAAGGGAATTCAGTGCAGCATGACTTCATCCAGCCCTTATCTTAAATAACAACTTAACTGTTTGACCAACACAAAGTCTGCCCAAAATTCAGGTTAAAAAAAAATAAAAAAAATAAAAAATAAAAAGACAAATGAAAACTACAGACAAAAGTTAATTTTCTCCATCAAGACATTCATTTCTGTAGTTCATTGCTACTAAAAAGCAGATATTTTTTCTCCTGATGATGGCCATGTTGGCCGAAACTAATCGATGAATCTAACTGAAATAATAAAAATGAAAGAATATTAATATAG